CACACACCCGCACACACACATGCCTGCATACACGCACCCCCCCACACACATATCTGCATACACACATACCTGCACACACACACACCTGCACACACACATACCTGCACACACACACACCTGCATACACACACCCGCACACACACATACCTGCACACACACACATATACCTGCACACCCACCCACCCACACACACACCCGCACACACACATACCTGCACACACACACCTGCACACACACACATCTGCACACACACCGACCTTGCCCTGTGTGAGGTAAGCTCATGGATTCTGGAACAAGAGGAATCCCAGGTTTTGTGTCAGAGTTTAGAGACCAGGGAGTTTAGAGCATGCCCACTTTGAATAATGAGGTTTGGGATTCTTTGGGGGTGGGGGACTTGGATGTGACTGGACCCTTGAGGCTTGTTGTAGTCCAGATCTGCACCCGCAGCTGCCCTGGAATAAAACCAGTTTCTGATTTGCTTTTTTGTTTATGTCAAAACATTGTAAACCAAAAAACCAGAAGACCAATTAAGAGTTAAGTACTAGCATGCCCAGAGCGGAGACAAAATTCTCCCCTGTCATTTTTTACAATCTTTTACCAACTTGCTTTTGCATGATTCAAGTTTATGCCATCAGATCGTTTTGCCTTTAAAACGTTCTAATAAACATTTGGCTGACCCTTAAAATTAAATTATATTAATAATTTATATTCATTATAATATATTAACAGTGCTTCAGTTACATTGTAATCTTTTGACCACGGTACTTTTATAGTGTTTTCCTTTGGGTGAATGCCCAGTGGCACTGTATTTACCATTACTGCGTGTATTATTTTAATACTCACAACCTGTGTCGCATAATAGTTTCAAAAAATAGAACAGCCTACAGTGCATGCGATTGTGATTTGGAAATCTTTTACCATTCAGACATAAGCCTAAGTATAAAATGTAAATAAATCCTGGGTACGTGAGTCATTACAAAAATTTTAAGACACACAAATATCCAGAAAAGAAAGATCCAAAATTCACGCTGACGGAGACAGATGAAGCCCTCCCAGCAACCCAGGTAAGCGGAGCAAGGTGAAACTTGCCCAGGTGAATCAGAAAGGACCCTGTTGACTGCATTTTTTGGAAGTGAAATGACAGACCATAACACAGTTTGTCACCAAACTTTTGTAGTGACCTAGGTATTTGATAAGCCTTGTGGAATTTATTTGTTGTTAGATTTTTATGTGACAGACAAATAGGAACGCTTTGGGGTCTCTGGTTGTTAATAAAGCTCCGAGTTTTCTTACCGATGCCATATACCCGCCAGCCATGAATGGTCCTTTCTTTCTCGAGTTGCCGTGATGTCATTTTGTCTTGTTTAGCATCTAGTCTGGGTTCTCCCTCGTGGGCACCCCATAGCGATTAGTCATTTCAGCAGGACTTCCCCATCAACATCTGCTCCTCGAGCCCACTACATGTGAGAAAACGTGGGATGGTGCTTTGAAAGTTGCAAAGTGTTGTGCAGGTGGTGGTGAGAAGGGGACCTTGGCTACCCCACATGAAAGACTAACGCAGCGGAGGACACCCCACCACACGCCCACTAACGTGCTCCTGATGAGTCTGTGTTTGCTCGCTCTCTGAGAGCTGCTGGTGGGATCCTTCCCAGGGAGCTCCCCTGCCCCTACAAGACCCTTGAGTCACACAGTCCTTGCTCTGTGTGGGGACACACGTCACTTCCCACCTAGCTGAGCTAACGGCCTTGCCTCCGATCTCTTGGAAGTTCCCAGGAATCAAAGCTTGGTAGCTTCCTTTCGGGCTTTGTCCTGCTTGACTTGTGTGAGAAGGAGCACTTAAATGAGAGTCAAATCACTGGTGTTAGAATTTTAACTTGGGGTTTCATCTGCCTTGTCCTTTAATTCTTCTTTCACAGTCAGAGATTCAACCTGAGCCTGATGGTTACAGTTCTTGGCGCTCTGTTGCTTACATATTGGGAATATTACCCATTTTATTTTTAGCCTTGCACCCCCTTCTCTTCTTTTCCGCCAGCTTCCCCCTGAGCCCATGCATACACACTATTCTCTAAATAATAGCGTTTTAGGCCTGGGCTTTTTCCCAGTCTGTATGCTTGGTCCGTACGACCAAATTGTCCATCTGTTCTCCATGCTCCCCACTGTTTCCTATTCATTTTTCAAGGTTCAGTGAAAAACTCGTTGTACAGGCTTTCCTGATCATAATTTTTGTCCCTAATATCCATTTATTCCCACTGTGCCAAGCTGCTTATAATGTATTATAGCTATTTTCATATTTGCTTATAATTTTCACTGGAATATGGGCTTAATTAGTTCCTTTAGCCTACTTTCTTATTGCATCTGATGTGTAATAGATACTTAATAAAAGTTTCTTCAACACAAATAACTTCACTCTTCCATTTCCTGCGGACTGTAGGCTTCTCAGGGGCAGCCAGTTCACCTCTCCTCATTCTTTTCTCCATAGAACTCAGCTCAGTGTCCACCACATAGTAGATGCTAAATAAACGTTGGAAATAGTAACAAAAGAAAATCCTTTAAATAAAGCAACACTACAAAATTTTCCAGATACTATTCCAAGTCAGGAGGTAAGGTGAGAGAAAGATGGTAATGGTGCCCATTGTAGGGATGAAGGAATTGCCAAAAAGGAAGTCATCTTGTGGGCACAACTCTTGGACTTTCTCATTTTCTGTTTATTTCACTTCTTTGGATACTCCCCAGAGTCTCATCTCAGGTAATGGTGGGCAGTTTGGTGAATATTGCAGCATTTCCCCACTGACTCCCCTGACAGAAGTCCCATCTGGGGTGTGGGAGAGCTAAGGATTCTTACCACCGGAGCACATCTCTAGGTGGACTGCAGGCAAATTGGTAAATAACCCCAGGATTCCTTTCTGCCCCCCCTGACCTTTGGAGCCCTTGGTTATGTGGGTCCCACAGCCCTCACTGTTTCCGCCCCACTAGAGATGAAAGTGGACCCCAGCTTGCTCAGTGCAGCTTCCCGCCAGGGCAGCAGGCCCTTATGTGAGCAGCACAAAGTCTTCATTCGAAGACTTTGAAGTGTGGGTTTCTATTTTCTAGCTTTCCTTTTTTGGAACTAGGCTCATTTGCTAGAATGAAACTATTTAACAGTTTCTGTTGGGGTGTGCCAGGCATTCTGCAAGGGGTTGACACCCAGTAATGGGTCAAGTGAACAGGGTCCCTAGTCAGTCCCAGACCAGGAGAGGGGCCAGCAGGCACTCACATGTTGGCCCACAGCAGACTACCACGCAGGTGGAATCAGCAATGGAGGTGGGACCCAGAGCACGGTGCACAGAGGAGAGGGCTCAGGAGGTTACTTGGCTTCCAGGGCCTTTTGCCTAGACTGATGACTCAGGACAGCAGGCCAGAGAGACAGAGATCACCCCGAGATGGAATGGAGGAGGAGGCTGACGGAGGAAACAGTTCAGAGACGAGAACATGCAGAATGTTCTTTTCTCTGCCCACATGGCAAGGTGAGACTCAGGGCTTTCTACCCATTATGCTTAGCTCTGCCTGCTCATTCTGTTGCCCTTCCTGAAAAGTTTAACCCTGTCTCCGTTTTCCCTATGTGCACGTGGGCATACTGACACGTAGACGCCCACTGCTCCCCTGCTCCAGCACACACAGAGCTATAGTCTCCACTCCAGCTCTCAGAACGTCTGACTCAGGGAAGGGGTGGGTTCTCGGAGTTCCCTTTTCCTCAACTGCTGCTTCTGCGTCAGCTGTCCTGCCACCACTAGCTGGTGAGCTTTTGTCCCTATTTGAAGCAGTAGAAAGCAAATGAGGAAGAGGCAAGGGAAACACGGGGGAGCAGAGAGAGTTAAACTGCTTTGTTGTGGCTGTTATGCAACCATTCCCTGCTAGCTTTCACCTGGAAAAAAAAAATCCACCTTGCGTGATGGTTGCATTCTATTTTTGGACTTGTCAAACTAGTATAAAAAGTGAAAGTATCATACGCTTAAAAATGGCAAATATCGATTCCTTCTTTTGTGGATTTCACAACTCGGGCAGAGGAAGAGTTAAATGGTAGTAGTGCAGGGAAGTAGCAGAGCAAAAGTCACGGTGCTGTTTCTTGGAACTATTTCTGCCAAACCAGTTATCATTTCTCAAGCCCTCTGAAAGCGTGCCAAAGCTGTCTGCAGAAGTAGCAACAGGCTGAGCAGCCAGCACGGGGTGTTCTTGTCTTCGGGCGTAATGCTGAGCGGTTTTTACAGTTATCTCTTTAATTGGCCTCTTATTTGCTTTCATTTTAAGCAGTGTGCCTTTTGGTGGAAAGTGCACTTAACTAAGAGTCAGAACATCTGGGTTCTAGTCTTACCCAGATACCGCAAACCAGCTACCTTCCAGAGGCATCAGATTTTTTGCCTATGAAAGCTGAAGTAATTGAATCAGGGCTCTTTTATAGTCCATCCTAATTCAAGAGGCCAGGAGATGGCAAACTATGACCCCCAGGCAGGCCAGTCTGGCCCACTGCCTGTTTATGTATCGTCCATAAGGTAAGAGTGGTGGATTTTGCACTTTTAAAAACGCTTTTCAATGGTTGAAAAAAATCAAAAGCAGAATGTTTTGGGATACATGAAAATGATAGGATTTCAAATCTCAGGGTCTCTAAATAAAGTTTTATTGGAACACTGACATGTTCATTGGCATACTGTCTATGGCAGAGTTGAGTGGTAGTAACAGAGGGACCTTATGGCTGGCAGAGTTCACTATCTTGTCCTTCAGAGAAAAACTGTGCTGATACCTGTGTCCACAGTTAATCATATGTTCTTATTTCTTGCATTTATAGCATGATAACACCCTATTGAGTTGCTGTAAGAGTGAATTGATGTAATGGATGGGAAAGCATTTTGAGAAAGTTAAAAGCATAAGCAAATATTTATTAGTCAATTAATATTGAGAAATGCTGTCAAGTGCATAAATACCCAACTACTAAATGTTTCCATATGAAGAAGAAACAAGCCCTTACTAAAAATGTGTAAAGACACAAATTATATTTTTATTTAGTAGGGTTGAAAGTATATGGGATAGGATTGCAGATGTGGAAAATCATATGTGACTGGGGGAGGGTGGAAGAACAAAAACTTATTTGCTAGGTTGGTATAATTCTAGGTGATTTTTGGCCAGGCATGGTGGCTCATGCCTGTAATCCTAGCACTCTGGGAGGCTAAGGTGGGTGGATTACTTGAGCTCATGAGTTTAGACCAGCCTGAGCATAAGCAAGACCCCATCTCTACCAAAAAAGAAAAACTGAGGCAAGAGGGCCACTTGAGCCCAAGAGTTGGAGCTTGCTGTGAGCTATGATGCCACAGCACTCTACCCAAGCTGACAGCTTGAGACTATCTCAAAAAAAAAAAAAAAATTCTAGGTGAGTTTTTTTTTTAATGCCTCAGTTGTTTAAACTACTATTAAAATTCTGTTTTAAAATAATAAGAGCAAAGGGAAAGTACCCTCTAACCTTATTTTAATACTAATGTTTTAAAAAGATTTTTTTTTAATTTCTAAAGTGAGTTTGAATTATAATGGATAAAATATAATTATCTGTATATGCCATACTTACATTGTCTACAGGCATCACTATGTCCCAAACCCTTGAAAGAATCAAAGTCAAGTACTGGAAACAAAATATAATTTTAGACAAGTTACAATAGCTGTGACTTACCTTGCTAGTTTTTGTTATAGTGATATTAGAATAACCTGTCACAAATTAAAGAGCCCAGCTTTTACTTTCACAAGGAAAGTAAAATTCTGCTTGTTTAAAATTTAGCTTATTCTGGGCAGCACCTGTGGCTCAGTGAGTAGGGCGCTGGCCCCCTATAATGAGGGTGGCGGGTTCAAACCTGGCCCCAGCCAAACAACAACAAAAAATAGCCAGGCATTGTCGCAGGCGCCTGTGGTCCCAGCTACTTGGAAGGCTGAGACAAGAGAATCACCTAAGCCCAGGAGTTGGAGGCTGCTGTGAGCTGCGATGTCATGACACTCTACCAAGAGCAACAAAGTGAGACTCTGTCTCTAAAAAAAAAAATTAACTTATTCCTCCCCATTTCCTGCAAGCCCTGGATCAAGTGGTGAATGCAGTAGGCTGTCCAGCACACTGGTTCCTGAGGGATGAAAATGTCTGGGAAAATTTATTACTAACTTTAAGTCTTCATGGAATGCCTCAGGCAGAAGGCAATTCTTCAACGCCTGATGAATAGTTTTTTTTTTTTCCCCTGCATTAATATCCATCTGACAAAATGATGAAGTACAAGCTGGTCATTTGATGTGTCAGGAATGGTCAATAAACAATGACAAAGGATCCTTTACATTCTCACAATAAACACTGCTGTTCCTTCTCACCATCTTCCTTGATAAACACCATCTGGAGTTAGCTTTCTCCCGAGAGGCTGCTGGCTGCCATGATGTAGGATGAAGTCGGTGGCCTCTTGAGGATTTATTTTTGCCCCTCCCTTTTTTTTTCTGAAAAGCATGGTAGCTGGTGGGGGCTCTCTATTTGGGGCCCCGGGTTCTAATGACTCCCTTTCTGACTTGAGAGCCCATGTTAGGGAATGACTTATTTATTTATTTTCCTTAACATTGCTGCTTTTGCTTTGCATGAAAAGAGGGGCCCAGGCTATAGAGAGTTGAGTGTTTGTGTGTGTGTGGCATTTGGGGGCAGTTACTGTGTGTTTAAGTGGCAAATGGGGGAGGTGGGAAGAAGATTTAAATAGTGACTTCTATATAATGAATGGACACTCTCTCTTTGGTGTTTTTATGAGAAACAACAGTAGAAAATTAAATACATATTTGGATGTTGAACTGGTATTTAATTGACCTCTACACTGCATCAAGTTGGGGCCATCCCTACAAGCCCTTACTTTATCCCCAGGCCTAGAACAGTGCTGTATGTGTTTAATGAACAGTATTGTATGTGTTTATTGAAGTATTTATTGAATGAATCACTATCATCTTGGTTCTAGGTATGTATTGTATAAAATTACTGTCATAGCTCTTCAAAGGCATACATTTAATTGTAATTGTCCTCTAAATCTCTTTCTCAAGGAGTGAGCCAGTTATAACTCTTTCGGCCAATTGGCAGCAGATATCTTAGCATGCTCAGGCTGCTATAACAAAAGTCTTTAACCCGAATGGCTTACAAACAACCAAAATCTATTTCCTGCCGTTCTGGAGGCTGAGAAGTCCATGATCAAGGAGCAGGAAGACGCAGTGTCTGGAGAGAACCTGCTCTCTGGATGCCCTTGCCTTGTGTCCTTATATGATGGAAGGGGAGAGGCAGTTCTCTCTTTCGTAAGGGCACCAATCCCGTTTGTGAGGCACCACGCTCATAACCTGATCACTTTCCAAAGGCCCCACATCCTGACGCCATATCCTAGGGGGTTAGGATGTCAACAGATGTGTTTTGGGGGGACACAAACATTCAGTCCCTAGTGCCTGCTCTTCCTGCCTCTTTCCCCTCCTCCCACACCTACATCCACATTCCAGAAGCAGCTCCGCAAGTCTGCGGAAGTCATCTCTCTTAAAGTTTCCTAAGACTGTCCCATGCTTTCTCACCGTGTGTCCTCAGGACTCAGCAGGGATGGTGATGCTATTGCAGGGATGAAAGATGACGTGTGGGCAGGCATTATGGGATATGTGCATTCTCCTTGCCCCAGCCAGTGTTCCTCTCCTCCCTGCCCCTACCCCCCGAGGGAGACACATGTGCAGCAGTAGCCATGGCCAAGCTGTGATGTGGAAGGAAGAGTGCTCAAAGAGAGAGAGAGATGGCCCAGGTCACCTCCACGAGTGGCAGAGGAGGAAGGGAGCCACAGCCACATAAAACAGCAGTCTATCCTCAAAAAACAATAGGGTTGTGTCTGCATATCTCTCTCTGTCTCTCTCTCTGTGTGTGTGTGTGTGTGTGTGTACACATGTGCATGTGATATAGACGGAGAGAGAGGTGACTATTTTCTTGCCCTTGATTTTTCACTCCCGATCCTGACTCATTTAGCAGAGGAAAGGACAAATGGCATTGCACTGTGTGTGTGTGTGTGTGTGAGACGCCTGTCTTTGGAGGATGAGCTCATTGTCTGTGTGTAGCTCACACCTGTGCTGTTGTGGGCCCCCTGTCCTGGGGTTGGAGATTGGCAGGACTTTAAAGGAACCAGTAGCTCTGGGATTTGTCATTCATGTAAGAAGATAAATCCTGATTCCTGTGAATTCAAATGTATTCAATTGAAAAAAGATAGATTGTGCTTCTACTGTGTACCAAGCATCAGGGCTAGAATGATGAACCAGAAAAAAGTCTACTTTCAAGGGTCGCACATGTCCATGAGAAGAGAATATAACATTGCGTGGCCAGCATCACAGTGATGTGTACAGAAGGTGCTGTGGGGTTGGAGACAAGAGCAATACTTTTCTGCCTTGGGGAGGGCTCTGTGGAAAGCAAGGGAGATGGAGGCCATTGAGTTAACAATAGTTAGAAGGTTTCCAGGCG